ACCACCACCACCACCACAACCACCACAACCACCACAACCTCCACCACCACAACCACCACCACAACCACGACCACCATAACACCACAACCACCACAACCACTACCACAACCTCCACCACCACAACCACCACAACCACCACAACCACCAGCACCACGACCACCAAAACCTCCACAACCACAACCACCACCACAACCACCACAACCACCACCACAACCACCACAACCACCACCACGACCACCACAACCTCCACAACCACCACCACCACAACCTCCACCACCACGACCACCACAACCACCACAACCTCCACCACCACAACCACCACAACCACCACCACAACCACCACAACCTCCACCACCACGACCACCACAACCACCACAACCACCACAACCACAACCACCACTACAACCACCACAACCTCCACCACCAATGACCACCACAACCTCCACCACCACAACCACCACCACAACCACCACCACAACCGCCACCACCACAACCACCACCACCACAACCACCACAACCTCCACCACCACAACCACCACCACAACCACCACAACCACCACCACAACCTCCACAACCACCACCACAACCACCACAACCACCACCACAACCACCACGACCACCATAACACCACAACCTCCACCACTACGACCACCACAACCACCACAACTACCACAACCTCTACCAACACAACCACCACCACAACCACCACAACTACCACAACCACCACCACTACGACCACCAAAACCACCACAACCACGACAACCTCCACCACCACACCCACCACAACCACCACCACAACAACCACCACAACCACCATAACCACAACCACCACCACAACCACGACCACCATAACACCACAACCACCACAACCTCCACCAACACAACCACTACCACAACCACCACAACCACCACCACAACCACCACCACGACCACCACAACCTCCACCACCACAACAACCACCACAACCACCACAACCTCCACCACCACAACCACCAAAACCACCACAACACCACAACCTCCACCACCACGACCACCACAACCACCACAACGACCACAACCTCCACCAACACAACCACCCCCACAACCACCACAACCACCACCACCACGACCACCACAATCTCCACCACCACAACCACCACCACAACCACCACCACAACCACAACCACCACCACAACCACCACCACCACAACCACCACCACAACCACCACCACCACAACCACCACCACAACCACCACAACAACCACAACAACCACCACACCAACCACCACAACCACCACAACCGCAACCACCACAACCGCAACCACCACGACCACCACAACCACCACAACAACCACCACCACCACAACCACCACAACCACCACAACCTCCACCACCACAACCACCACCACAACCACGACCACCATAACACCACAACCACCACAACCACTACCACAACCTCCACCACCACAACCACCACAACCACCACAACCACCACCACCACGACCACCACAACCTCCACAACCACAACCACCACCACAACCACCACAACCACCACCACAACCACCACAACCACCACCACAACCACCACCACGACCACCACAACCACCACAACCACCACCACAACCTCCACCACCACGACCACCACAACCACCACAACCTCCACCACCACAACCACCACAACCACCACCACAACCACCACAACCTCCACCACCACGACCACCACAACCACCACAACAACCACAACCACCACTACAACCACCACAACCTCCACCACCACGACCACCACAACCTCCACCACCACAACCACCACCACAACCACCACCACAATCGCCACCACCACAACCACCACAACCACCACCACCACAACCACCACAACCTCCACCACCACAACCACCACCACCACCACAACCACCACCCCAACCACCACAACCACCACCACAACCTCCACAACCACCACCACAACCACCACAACCACCACCACAACCACCACAACCACCACGACCACCATAACACCACAACCTCCACCACCACGACCACCACAACCACCACAACCACCACCACCACAACAACCACCACAACCACCACAACCTCCACCACCACAACCACGACCACCATAACACCACAACCTCCACCACTACGACCACCACAACCACCACAACCACCACAACCTCTACCAACACAACCACCACCACAACCACCACAACCACCACCACTACGACCACCAAAACCACCACAACCACCACAACCTCCACCACCACACCCACCACAACCACCACAACCCCACAACCTCCACCACCACGACCACCACAACCACCACCACAACCACCACCACCACCACAACAACCACCACAACCACCATAACCACAACCACCACAACCACCACCACAACCACGACCACCATAACACCACAACCACCACAACCTCCACCAACACAACCACTACCACAACCACCACAACCACCACCACAACCACCACCACAACCACCACAACCTCCACCACCACGACCACCACAACCACCACAACAACCACAACCACCACTACAACCACCACAACCTCCACCACCACGACCACCACAACCTCCACCACCACAACCACCACCACAACCACCACCACAACCGCCACCACCACAACCACCACAACCACCACCACCACAACCACCACCACCACAACCACCACAACCTCCACCACCACAACCACCACCACCACCACAACCACCACCCCAACCACCACAACCACCACCACAACCTCCACAACCACCACCACAACCACCACAACCACCACCACAACCACCACAACCACCACGACCACCATAACACCACAACCACCACCACCACAACAACCACCACAACCACCACAACCTCCACCACCACAACCACGACCACCATAACACCACAACCTCCACCACTACGACCACCACAACCACCACAACCACCACAACCTCTACCAACACAACCACCACCACAACCACCACAACCACCACCACTACGACCACCAAAACCACCACAACCACCACAACCTCCACCACCACACCCACCACAACCACCACAACCCCACAACCTCCACCACCACGACCACCACAACCACCACCACAACCACCACCACCACCACAACAACCACCACAACCACCATAACCACAACCACCACAACCACCACCACAACCACGACCACCATAACACCACAACCACCACAACCTCCACCAACACAACCACTACCACAACCACCACAACCACCACCACAACCACCACCACGACCACCACAACCTCCACCACCACAACAACCACCACAACCACCACAACCTCCACCACCACAACCGCAACCACCACGACCACCACAACCACCACAACAACCACCACCACAACAACCACCACAACCACCACAACCTCCACCACCACAACCACCACCACAACCACGACCACCATAACACCACAACCACCACAACCACTACCACAACCTCCACCACCACAACCACCACAACCACCACAACCACCACCACCACGACCACCACAACCTCCACAACCACAACCACCACCACAACCACCACAACCACCACCACAACCACCACAACCACCACCACAACCACCACCACGACCACCACAACCACCACAACCACCACCACAACCTCCACCACCACGACCACCACAACCACCACAACCTCCACCACCACAACCACCACAACCACCACCACAACCACCACAACCTCCACCACCACGACCACCACAACCACCACAACAACCACAACCACCACTACAACCACCACAACCTCCACCACCACGACCACCACAACCTCCACCACCACAACCACCACCACAACCACCACCACAACCGCCACCACCACAACCACCACAACCACCACCACCACAACCACCACAACCTCCACCACCACAACCACCACCACCACAACCACCACCACAACCACCACCACAACCTCCACAACCACCACCACAACCACCACAACCACCACCACAACCACCACAACCACCACGACCACCATAACACCACAACCTCCACCACCACGACCACCACAACCACCACAACCACCACCACCACCACAACAACCACCACAACCACCACAACCTCCACCACCACAACCACGACCACCATAACACCACAACCTCCACCACTACGACCACCACAACCACCACAACCACCACAACCTCTACCAACACAACCACCACCACAACCACCACAACCACCACCACTACGACCACCAAAACCACCACAACCACCACAACCTCCACCACCACACCCACCACAACCACCACAACCCCACAACCTCCACCACCACGACCACCACAACCACCACCACAACCACCACCACCACCACAACAACCACCACAACCACCATAACCACAACCACCACAACCACCACCACAACCACGACCACCATAACACCACAACCACCACAACCTCCACCAACACAACCACTACCACAACCACCACAACCACCACCACAACCACCACCACGACCACCACAACCTCCACCACCACAACAACCACCACAACCACCACAACCTCCACCACCACAACCACCACAACCACCTCAACACCACAACCTCCACCACCACGACCACCACAACCACCACAACGACCACAACCTCCACCACCACAACCACCACCACAACCACAACCACCACCACAACCACCACAACCACCACCACCACAACCACCACCACAACCACCACCACCACAACCACCACCACAACCACCAGAACAACCACAACAACCACCACACCAACCACCACAACCACCACAACCGCAACCACCACAACCGCAACCACCACCACAACCACCACCACAACCACCACCACAACCGCCACCACAACCACCACCACAACAACCACCACCACAACGACCACGATTAAAACCACCAACACAACCGCTATAATCATTAGCACCACCCCCCCCCCCCCCAAAGCTGACCCCGTGACCCCACCGCGACCCCCCACCGTGACCCCACCGTGACCCCCCGCCGTGACCCCCCACCGTGACCCCCCACCGTGACCCCACCGTGACCCCGCCAGGCCCCAGCTGCTGGTGCTGCTCAAGCTGGACGCGGAGCTGCAGGTGAAGAACGAGCGCCTGCTCAGCTTCGCCTCGCAGCTCAAGGCCGGCAAGGGCCTCCTCATCGTGGGCTCCGTCCTGGAGGGAGCCTACCTGCAGAGCCACCGCGAGGTGCAGGGTGCCGAGCAGGTGAGTGGTGGACACCACCTCCAGCTCCACCACCACCTCCAGCTCCACCTCCACCACCACCACCACCACCTCCACCACCTCCACCACCTCCACCACCACCGCTACCTGCAGAGCCACCGCGAGGTGCAGGGTGCCGAGCAGGTGAGTGGTGGACACCACCTCCAGCTCCACCTCCACCACCACCTCCACCACCACCGCTACCTCCACCACCTCCACCACCACCGCTACCTGCAGAGCCACCGCGAGGTGCAGGGTGCCGAGCAGGTGAGTGGTGGACACCACCTCCAGCTCCACCTCCACCACCTCCACCACCACCTCCACCACCTCCACCACCACCACCACCGCTACCTGCAGAGCCACCGCGAGGTGCAGGGTGCCGAGCAGGTGAGTGGTGGACACCACCTCCAGCTCCACCTCCACCACCTCCATCACCACCTCCACCACCACCACCACCGCTACCTGCAGAGCCACCGCGAGGTGCAGGGTGCCGAGCAGGTGAGTGGTGGACACCACCTCCAGCTCCACCACCACCACCACCACCACCACCGCTACCTCCACCACCACCACCACCGCTACCTGCAGAGCCACCGCGAGGTGCAGGGTGCCGAGCAGGTGAGTGGTGGACACCACCTCCAGCTCCACCACCACCTCCACCACCACCTCCACCACCACCGCTACCTCCACCACCACCTCCACCACCACCTCCACCACCACCGCCACCTGCAGAGCCACCGCGAGGTGCAGGGTGCCGAGCAGGTGAGTGGTGGACACCACCTCCAGCTCCACCACCACCTCCACCACCACCTCCACCACCACCTCTACCACCACCACCGCCACCACCTCCACCACCACCACCACCGCTACCTGCAGAGCCACCGCGAGGTGCAGGGTGCCGAGCAGGTGAGTGGTGGACACCACCTCCAGCTCCACCACCACCTCCACCACCACCTCCACCACCTCCACCACCACCTCCACCACCACCGCTACCTCCACCACCTCCACCACCACCGCTACCTGCAGAGCCACCGCGAGGTGCAGGGTGCCGAGCAGGTGAGTGGTGGACACCACCTCCACCTCCACCACCACCACCACCTCCACCTCCACCACCACCACCACCACCTCCACCACCTCCACCACCACCACCACCACTTCCACCACCACCACCTCCACCACCACCACCACCACCACCACCGCTACCTGCAGAGCCACCGCGAGGTGCAGGGTGCCGAGCAGGTGAGTGGTGGACACCACCTCCACCTCCACCACCTCCACCACCACCACCTCCACCACCACCTCCACCACCACCGCTACCTCCACCACCTCCACCACCACCGCTACCTGCAGAGCCACCGCGAGGTGCAGGGTGCCGAGCAGGTGAGTGGTGGACACCACCTCCAGCTCCACCACCACCTCCACCACCACCTCCACCACCTCCACCACCACCTCCACCACCACCGCTACCTCCACCACCTCCACCACCACCGCTACCTGCAGAGCCACCGCGAGGTGCAGGGTGCCGAGCAGGTGAGTGGTGGACACCACCTCCAGCTCCACCACCTCCACCACCACCTCCACCTCCACCACCACCTCCACCACCACCACCGCTACCTCCACCACCACCTCCTCCTCCACCACCACCACCTCCACCACCACCACCACCGCTACCTGCAGAGCCACCGCGAGGTGCAGGGTGCCGAGCAGGTGAGTGGTGGACACCACCTCCAGCTCCACCTCCACCACCACCACCTCCACCACCTCCACCACCACCTCCACCACCACCGCTACCTCCACCACCTCCACCACCACCGCTACCTGCAGAGCCACCGCGAGGTGCAGGGTGCCGAGCAGGTGAGTGGTGGACACCCCCGCCACCTCCAGCACCTCCACCGCCAGCTCCACCACCTCCACCACCGCTACCTGCAGTCAGCTCCACCACCTCCACCACCTCCACCACCACCGCCACCACCACCGCTACATACAGTCAGCTCCACCACCACCACCTCCACCACCACCACCACCGCTACCTGCAGTCAGCTCCTCCACCTCCACCACCACCACCACCTCCACCACCACCGCTACATACAGTCAGCTCCACCACCTCCACCACCACCACCACCTCCACCACCTCCACCACCACCACTACCACCGCTCCCTACAGTCAGCTCCACCACCACCACCACAGCTCCCTACAGTCAGCTCCTATCTCCTCCCTCTCCTGATCTCTCTCCCAAAATTTCTTCTAAACCCCTCCTCCCTCCCCCTTCCCCCCCTCCCCCCCCCCCCCCCCCCCACCGCGTCCAGACGATCCGCCGCCTGATGGAGTCTGAGCGAGTGAAGGGCTTTAGCCAGGTGGTGGTGGCCTCGCGGGCCAGCGAGGGAGTTTCTCACCTGGTGCAGTCCAGCGGCCTGGGAGGCCTCAAGCCCAACACGGTGCTCATGGGATGGCCGGCTCGCTGGCGACAGAGCACCGATCCACGCACCTGGAAGGACTTCATCGGTGGGTTCGCTGGCTCGGTACTGCTCGCTCGCTCGCTCGCTCGATCCATCGATGGATCGATGGATCGCTCGGTCGCTCGCTCACTAACTTGATCTCTCACTCGCTCAATCACTCACTCGGTCGCTCGATCGATGGATCGCTCGGTCGCTCGATCACTCACTCGCTCGCTCGATCATTCAATCGCTTGATCGCTCACTCACTAACTTGATCACTCACTCGCTCAATCACTCACTCGATCGCTCGCTCGCTCACTGGATGGATCACTCGCTCACTCTATCACTCACTCACTCACTCTATCACTCACTCACTCGATCACTTGATCACTCACTCACTCACTTGATCACTCACTCACTCACTTGATCACTCACTCACTCACTCGATCACTCTATCACTCGCTCACTCACTCACTTACTCACTCACTCACTCGATCACTCACTCACTCACTTGATCACTCACTCACTTGATCACTCACTCACTCACTTGATCACTTACTCACTCGATCGCTCATTCACTCACTCACTCTATCACTCACTTGATCGCTTACTTAATCACTCACTCACTCACTTAATCACTCACTCACTCACTCGATCACTCACTCACTCACTCTATCACTCGCTCACTCGATCGCTCACTTAATCACTCGCTCACTCGATCACTCACTCTATCACTCGCTCACTCACTTGATCGCTTACTTAATCACTCACTCACTCACTCGATCACTCACTCACTCACTTGATCGCTTACTTAATCACTCACTCACTCACTCGATCACTCACTTGATCACTCACTCACTTACTCACTCGATCACTCTATCACTCGATCACTCGCTCACTCACTCACTTACTCACTCACTCACTTACTCACTCACTCACTCTATCACTCGCTCACTCGCTCACTCACTTGATCACTCGCTCACTCACTCTATCACTCGCTCACTCGATCGCTCACTTAATCACTCGCTCACTCACTCACTTACTCTATCACTCACTCACTCTATCACTCGCTCACTCGATCACTCACTCACTCTATCACTCGCTCACTCGATCACTCACTCACTCGATCACTCGATCACTCACTCACTCTATTACTCGCTCACTCGCTCACGATCACTCACTCACTTACTCACTCACTCACTTACTCACTCACTCACTCGATCACTCACTCACTTACTCACTCACTCGATCACTCACTCACTCACTCGCTCACTCTATTACTCGCTCACTCGCTCACTCGATCACTCACTCACTCGATCACTCACTCACTCACTTAATCACTCGCTCACTTGCTCACTCACTCACTCGATCACTTACTCACTCACTTGATCACTCACTCACTCACTCGATCACTCACTCACTCACTCGATCACTCACTCACTCACTCGCTCACTCGATCGCTCACTTAATCACTCACTCACTCACTCGATCACTCACTCGCTCACTCACTCTATCACTCGCTCACTCGATCGCTCACTTAATCACTCGCTCACTCACTCACTCACTCGATCACTCACTCACTCTATCACTCACTCACTCTATCACTCACTCGATCACTCGCTCACTCGATCACTCACTCACTCTATCACTCACTCTATCACTCGCTCACTCGATCGCTCACTCTATCACTTGATCACTCACTCACTCTATCACTCACTCACTCATCACTCGTCCGCGTCGTCACAGAGACGGTGCGAGTGACGACGGCGGCGCACCGCGCGCTCCTCGTCGCCAAGAACGTCGCCGCCTTCCCCGGACGACAGCAGCGCTGGGCCGAGGGCTCCATTGACCTGTGGTGGATCGTCCACGATGGCGGCATGCTCATGCTGCTGCCCTTCCTGCTGCGTCAACACAAGGTGACACAGCAGTGGTGTGTGGCTGTGTGTGTGTGGCTGTGTGTGTGTGACTGTGTGTGTGGCTGTGTGTGGCTGTGTGTGTGTGGCTGTGTGTGTGTGGCTGTGTGTGTGTGGCTGTGTGTGTGTGGCTGTGTGTGTGTGTGGCTGTGTGTGTGGCTGTGTGTGTGTGTGAGTGTGACCGTGTGTGTGGCTGTGTGTGGCTGTGTGTGTGGCTGTGTGTGTGACTGTGTGTGACTGTGTGTGTGTGACTGTGTGTGTGTGACTGTGTAACTGTGTGTGGCTGTGTGTGGCTGTGTGTGTGACTGTGTGTGTGTGACTGTGTGTGTGGCTGTGTGTGTGGCTGTGTGTGGCTGTGTGTGGCTGTGTGTGTGGCTGTGTGTGGCTGTGTGTGTGGCTGTGTGTGTGACTGTGTGTGTGACTGTGTGTGGCTGTGTGTGTGACTGTGTGACTGTGTGACTGTGTGGGTGTGTGACTGTGTGTGTGTGGCTGTGTGTGTGACCGTGTGTGTGACTGTGTGTGTGACTGTGTGTGTGACTGTGTGTGGGTGACTGTGTGTGGCTGTGTGTGTGACTGTGTGTGTGGCTGTGTGTGTGGCTGTGTGTGTGGCTGTGTGTGTGGCTGTGTGTGTGTGGCTGTGTGTGTGTGGCTATGTGTGGCTGTGTGTGGCTGTGTGTGTGTGGCTGTGTGTGTGTGTGACTGTGTGTGGCTGTGTGTGTGGCTGTGTGTGTGACTGTGTGTGTGTGGCTGTGTGTGGCTGTGTGTGGCTGTGTGTGTGTGGCTGTGTGTGGCTGTGTGTGTGTGTGACTGTGTGTGTGACTGTGTGTGACTGTGTGTGTGGCTGTGTGTGGCTGTGTGTGACTGTGTGTGACTGTGTGTGTGGCTGTGTGTGACTGTGTGTGTGACTGTGTGTGTGACTGTGTGTGTGACTGTGTGTGTGTGGCTGTGTGTGGCTGTGTGGCTGTGTGTGTGTGGCTGTGTGTGGCTGTGTGTGGCTGTGTGACACAAGGTGACACAGCCGTGGTGTGTGGCTGTGTGTGTGACTGTGTGTGTGGCTGTGTGTTACTGTGTGTGTGACTGTGTGTGTGTGACTGTGTGTGTGTGGCTGTGTGTGTGTGTGTGGCTGTGTGTGTGTGTGACTGTGTGTAGCTGTGTGTGACTGTGTGTGTGACTGTGTGTGTGTGTGTGGCTGTGTGTGACTGTGACTGTGTGTAGCTGTGTGTGTGTGGCTGTGTGTGTGGCTGTGTGTGTGACTGTGTGTGTGACTGTGTGTGACTGTGTGTGTGGCTGTGTGACTGTGTGTGTGGCTGTGTGTGTGACTGTGTGTGGCTGTGTGTGTGACTGTGTGTGTGTGACTGTGTGTGTGTGACTGTGTGTGTGGCTGTGTGTGTGTGTGGCTGTGTGTGTGTGTGACTGTGTGTGGCTGTGTGTGACTGTGTGTGTGTGACTGTGTGTGTGTGTGGCTGTGTGTGACTGTGACTGTGTGTAGCTGTGTGTGTGTGGCTGTGTGTGTGGCTGTGTGTGTGACTGTGTGTGGCTGTGTGTGTGACTGTGTGTGTGACTGTGTGTGGCTGTGTGAGTGTGTGGCTGTGTGTGACTGTGTGTGTGTGACTGTGTGTGTGGCTGTGTGGCTGTGTGTGATTGTGTGACTGTGTGAGTGTGTGGCTGTGTGTGACTGTGTGGCTGTGTGGCTGTGTGTGTGTGTGACTGTGTGTGACTGTGTGACTGTGTGAGTGTGTGGCTGTGTGTGTGACTGTGTGTGTGACTGTGTGACTGTGTGAGTGTGTGGCTGTGTGTGTGACTGTGTGACTGTGTGATTGTGTGTGTGGTTGTGTGTGTGACTGTGTGACTGTGTGATTGTGTGTGTGGCTGTGTGTGTGTGTGACTGTGTGTGTGGCTGTGTGACTGTGTGTGTGTGACTGTGTGTGTGGCTATGTGGGTGACTGTGTGGGTGTGTGACTGTGTGTGGCTGTGTGTGTGTGACTGTGTGTGTGTGGCTGTGTGTGGCTGTGTGTGGCTGTGTGTGTGTGGCTGTGTGTGTGGCTGTGTGTGTGACTGTGTGTGTGGCTGTGTGTGTGTGACTGTGTGGGTGTGTGGGTGTGACTGTGTGTGTGTGACTGTGTGTGTGTGACTGTGTGTGTGGCTGTGTGACTGTGTGTGTGACTGTGTGGGTGTGTGGGTGACTGTGTGTGTGTGGCTGTGTGTGTGTGACTGTGTGTGTGACTGTGTGACTGTGTGTGTGGGTGTGTGTGTGTGTGTGACTGTGTGTGTGTGTGTGTGTGTGACTGTGTGTGGGTGACTGTGTGTGTGACTGTGTGACTGTGTGTGTGGGTGACTGTGTGTGTGACTGTGTGTGTGACTGTGTGTGTGACTGTGTGTGTGTGGCTGTGTGTGTGACTGTGTGTGACTGTGTGTGGCTGTGTGTGTGGCTGTGTGTGTGACTGTGTGTGTGTGGCTGTGTGTGATTGTGTGTGTGACTGTGTGTGTGTGTGACTGTGTGTGGCTGTGTGTGTGGCTGTGTGACTGTGTGTGACTGTGTGTGACTGTGTGACTGTGTGTGACTGTGTGTGGCTGTGTGACTGTGTGTGTGACTGTGTGTGGGTGACTGTGTGTGGCTGTGTGTGGCTGTGTGTGTGTGACTGTGTGACTGTGTGGCTGTGTGTGTGTGACTGTGTGTGATTGTGTGTGACTGTGTGAGTGTGTGGCTGTGTGTGGCTGTGTGTGGGTGACTGTGTGTGGCTGTGTGTGGCTGTGTGTGACTGTGTGAGTGTGTGGCTGTGTGTGGCTGTGTGTGGGTGACTGTGTGTGGCTGTGTGTGTGACTGTGTGTGGCTGTGTGTGACTGTGTGTGTGACTGTGTGTGTGGCTGTGTGTGGCTGTGTGTGTGTGGCTGTGTGTGGCTGTGTGTGGGTGACTGTGTGTGGCTGTGTGTGGGTGACTGTGTGTGGCTGTGTGTGGGTGACTGTGTGTGGCTGTGTGTGGCTGTGTGTGTGACTGTGTGTGTGACTGTGTGTGTGACTGTGTGTGACTGTGTGACTGTGTGTGTGACTGTGTGTGTGGCTGTGTGTGTGTGACTGTGTGTGTGTGTGGCTGTGTGTGTGGCTGTGTGTGTGACTGTGTGTGTGTGTGTGGCTGTGTGTGTGTGACTGTGTGTGACTGTGTGTGACTGTGACTGTGTGAGTGTGTGGCTGTGTGTGTGGCTGTGTGTGTGGCTGTGTGTGTGGCTGTGTGTGTGACTGTGTGTGACTGTGTGTGTGTGACTGTGTGTGACTGTGTGTGTGGCTGTGTGTGTGACTGTGTGTGTGACTGTGTGTGTGACTGTGTGTGTGTGACTGTGTGTGTGACTGTGTGTGTGACTGTGTGTGGCTGTGTGTGTGTGTGACTGTGTGACTGTGTGATTGTGTGGCTGACTGTGTGACTGTGTGTGTGTGTGACTGTGTGTGACTGTGTGTGTGTGACTGTGTGTGTGTGACTGTGTAACTGTGTGTGGCTGTGTGTGTGACTGTGTGTGTGTGACTGTGTGTGTGACTGTGTGTGTGGCTGTGTGTGTGGCTGTGTGTGGCTGTGTGTGTGGCTGTGTGTGGCTGTGTGTGTGACTGTGTGTGTGACTGTGTGTGGCTGTGTGTGTGACTGTGTGACTGTGTGACTGTGTGTGTGGCTGTGTGTGTGGCTGTGTGTGGCTGTGTGTGTGACTGTGTGTGGCTGTGTGTGTGACTGTGTGTGGCTGTGTGTGTGACTGTGTGTGTGGCTGTGTGTGACTGTGTGAGTGTGACTGTGTGTGTGACTGTGTGTGTGACTGTGTGACACAAGGTGACTCCGCGGTGGTGTGTGGCTGTGTGTGACTGTGTGTGTGTGACTGTGTGTGTGTGACTGTGTGTGTGTGACTGTGTGTGACTGTGTGTGACTGTGTGACTGTGTGAGTGGCTGTGTGTGTGACTGTGTGTGTGACTGTGTGTGTGACTGTGTGACACAAGGTGACTCCGCGGTGGTGTGTGACTGTGTGTGTGTGACTGTGTGAGTGGCTGTGTGTATGACTGTGTGTGTGACTGTGTGTGTGACTGTGTGACACAAGGTGACTCCGCGGTGGTGTGTGGCTGTGTGTGACTGTGTGTGTGGCTGTGTGTGTGGCTGTGTGTGTGGCTGTGTGTGTGTGACTGTGTGTGTGACTGTGTGTGTGTGTGACTGTGTGTGTGGCTGTGTGTGTGGCTGTGTGTGTGTGACTGTGTGTGTGACTGTGTGTGTGTGTGTGACTGTGTGACTGACTGTGTGACTGTGTGACTGTGTGGCTGACTGTGTGACTGTGTGACTGTGTGTGTGACTGTGTGACTGTGTGACTGTGTGGCTATGTGACTGTGTGAGTGTGTGACTGTGTGTGTGTGACTGTGTGTGTGGCTGTGTGTGACTGTGTGAGTTTGACTGTGTGTGTGACTGTGTGTGTGACTGTGTGACACAAGGTGACTCCGCGGTGGTGTGTGGCTGTGTGTGACTGTGTGTGTGTGACTGTGTGTGTGTGACTGTGTGTGAGTGTGTGTGACTGTGTGACTGTGTGAGTGGCTGTGTGTGTGACTGTGTGTGTGACTGTGTGTGTGACTGTGTGTGTGACTGTGTGACACAAGGTGACTCCGCGGTGGTGTGTGGCTGTGTGTGTGACTGTGTGTGTGTGACTGTGTGAGTGGCTGTGTGTATGACTGTGTGTGTGACTGTGTGTGTGACTGTGTGACACAAGGTGACTCCGCGGTGGTGTGTGGCTGTGTGTGACTGTGTGTGTGGCTGTGTGTGTGGCTGTGTGTGTGTGACTGTGTGTGTGACTGTGTGTGTGTGTGTGACTGTGTGTGTGGCTGTGTGTGTGGCTGTGTGTGTGGCTGTGTGTGTGTGACTGTGTGTGTGTGACTGTGTGACTGACTGTGTGACTGTGTGACTGTGTGACTGACTGTGTGACTGTGTGACTGTGTGTGTGACTGTGTGACTGTGTGACTGTGTGGCTATGTGACTGTGTGAGTGTGTGACTGTGTGTGTGTGACTGTGTGTGTGGCTGTGTGTGACTGTGTGAGTTTGACTGTGTGTGTGACTGTGTGTGTGACTGTGTGACACAAGGTGACTCCGCGGTGGTGTGTGGCTGTGTGTGACTGTGTGTGTGTGACTGTGTGTGTGTGACTGTGTGTGAGTGTGTGTGACTGTGTGACTGTGTGAGTGGCTGTGTGTGTGACTGTGTGTGTGACTGTGTGTGTGACTGTGTGTGTGACTGTGTGAGACAAGGTGACTCCGCGGTGGTGTGTGGCTGTGTGTGTGACTGTGTGTGTGTGACTGTGTGAGTGGCTGTGTGTATGACTGTGTGTGTGACTGTGTGTGTGACTGTGTGACACAAGGTGACTCCGCGGTGGTGTGTGGCTGTGTGTGACTGTGTGTGTGGCTGTGTGTGTGGCTGTGTGTGTGTGACTGTGTGTGTGACTGTGTGTGTGTGTGACTGTGTGTGTGGCTGTGTGTGTGGCTGTGTGTGTGTGACTGTGTGTGTGACTGTGTGTGTGTGTGACTGTGTGACTGTGTGACTGACTGTGTGACTGTGTGACTGTGTGACTCACTGTGTGACTGTGTGACTGTGTGTGACTGTGTGAGGCTGTGTGACTGTGTGACTGTGTGGCTGTGTGGTTGTGTGGTTGTGTGACTGTGTGACTGTGTCTGTGTGACTGTGTAGCTGTGTGACTGTGTGATTGTGTGTGACTGTGTGACTGTGTGACTGTGTGTGGCTGTGTGGCTGTGTGACTGTGTGACTGTGTGGCTGTGTGTGGCTGTGTGACTGTGTGGCTGGGTGACTGTGTAGCTGTGTGGCTGTGTGACTGTGTGGCTGTGTGACTGTGTGACTGTGTGTGACTGTGTGACTGTGTTGCCGTGTGACTCTGTGACTGTGTGACCGTGTGACTGTGTGGCTGTGTGACTGTGTGACTGTGTGACCGTGTGACCGTGTGGCTGTGTGACTGTGTGGCCGTGTGGCCGTGTGACTGTGTGACTGTAAGACTGTGTGACTGTGTGACTGTGTGTGACCGTGTGACTGTGTGTGACTGTGTGACCGTGTGACTGTGTGACTGTGTGACTGTGTGGTTGTGTGAGTGTGTGAGTGACTGTGTGACTGTGTGACTGTGTAACTGTGTGAGTAACTGTGTGGCTGTGTGTCTGTGTGACTGTGTGACCGTGTGACTGTGTGACCGCGTGACTGTGTGACTGTGTGACCGTGTGACCGTGTGGCTGTGTGACTGTGTGGCTGTGTGACTGTGTGACTGCGTGTGACTGTGTGACTGTGTGAGTGAGTGGCTGTGTGACTGTGTGACTGTGTGACTGTGTGGCTGAGTGACCGTGTGGCTGTGTGACCGTGTGACTGTGTGATTGTGTGACTGTGTGGCTGTGTGACTGTGTGACCGTGTGACTGTGTTGCCGTGTGACTGTAAGACTGTGTGACTGTGTGACTGTGTGACTGTGTTGCCGTGTGACTGTGTGACTGTGTGACTGTGTGTGACTGTGTGACTGTGTGTGACTGTGTGGCTGTGTGACTGACTGTGTGACTGTGTGACTGTGTGTGACTGTGTGACTGTGTGACCGTGTGACTGTGTGACTGTGTTGCCGTGTGACTGTGTGACTGTGTGACTGTGTGTGACTGTGTGACCGTGTGACTGTGTGACTGTGTGACTGTGTGGGTGTGTGACTGTGTTGCCGTGTGACTGTGTGACTGTGTGACTGTGTGGCTCTGTGACTGTGTGACTGTGTGAGTGAGTGACTGTGTGACTGTGTGATTGTGTGACTGTGTGGCTGTGTGACTGTGTGACTGTGTGACTGTGTGATTGTGTGGCTGTGTGGCTGTGTGACTGTGTGACTGTGTGGCTGTGTGACTGTGTGACTGTGTGAGTGAGTGAATATGTGACTGTGTAACTGTGTGACTGTGTGACTGACTGTGTGACTGTGTGACTGTGTGACTGTATGACTGTCTTGCCGTGTGGCTGTGTGACTGTGTTGCCGTGTGGCTGTGTGACTGTGTGACTGACTGACTGACTGTGTGACTGTGTTGCCGTGTGACTGTGTGACTGTGTGTCTGTGTGATCTGTGTGACTGTGTGACTGTGTGACTGTGTGACCGTGTGGCTGTGTTGCCATGTGACTGTGTGACTGTGTGGCTGTGTGACTGTGTGACTGTGTGGTTGTGTGACGTTTGCACTCAGGTCTGGCGCAAGTGTAAGATGCGCATCTTCACGGTGGCACAGCTTGAGGACAACAGCATCCAGATGAAAAACGACCTCACCACCTTCCTCTACCACCTGCGCATTGACGCCGAGGTGGAGGTGGTGGAGATGGTGAGCGACGCTCACCCACACGCTCACCCACTCACTCGCCCGCTGACCTGCCCGCCCACCCACTCGCTCACTCACCCACTCGCTGACCCGCTCACCCGCTCGCTCACTCACCCGCTCGCTCACTCACCCGCTCGCTCGACCGCCCGCTCCCCCACTGACCTGCCCACCCACCCAACCACTCGCTCACCCACTCGCTCGCTGACCCACCCACCATGCCCACTCGCTCACCCACTCGCTCGCTCGCCCACCCACTCGGTGACCCACTCACCCGCTCACCCACCCACTCGCTCATCCGCCTGCCCGCTCGCTCGCCCTCCCGCCCGCTCACCCGCTCACTCACCCACTGACCCACCCACCCGCCCGCCCACTCGCTCACCCACTGATCTGCCCGCCCACCCAACCACTCGCTCACCTGCCCACTCGCTTGCTTACCCACCCACTCGCCCACCCACTCGCTCACCCACTCATCCACTCACCCACTCGCTCACCCATTCACCCACCTACTCGCTCACTTACCCGTTCACCCACCGACTTTCTCACCCACACATTCGCTTGCTCACTCGCCCACTCACTCACCCACTCACCGATTCACCCACCCACTCACCAACCCACTCACCCATTCACCCGCCCACTCACCAACCCACTCACCCATTCACCCACCCACTCACCCACCCACTCATCCATTCACCCACCCACTCACCAACCCACTCACCCATTCACCCGCCCCCTCACCCACTCACCCACCCACTCGCTAACACACACGGCAGCTGTCCTCCGTGACCTCTTGTGAGTGTGTACACACGTGTGTGTGTGTGTGAGTGTGTACACACGTGTGAGTGTGTGTGTGTACACACGTGTGTGAGTGTGTACACACGTGTGTGAGTGTGTACACACGTGTGTGTATGTGTGTGTGTGTACACACGTGTGTGTGTGTGTGTACACACGTGTGTGTGTGTGTACACACGTGTGTGTGTGTGTGTGTACACACGTGTGTGTGTGTACACACGTGTGTGTGTGTGTACACACATGTGTGTGTGTGTACACACGTGTGTGTATGTGTGTGTGTGTACACACGTGTGTGTGTGAGTGTGTACACACGTGTGTGTATGTGTGTGTGTGTACACACGTGTGTGTGAGTGTGTGTACACACGTGTGTGTGTGTACACACGTGTGTGTGTGTACACACGTGTGAGTGTGAGTGTGTACACACGTGTGAGTGTGTGTGTGTACACACGTGTGTGAGTGTGTACACACGTGTGTGTATGTGTGTGTGTGTGTACACACGTGTGTGTGTGTGTGTACACACGTGTGTGTGTGTGTACACACGTGTGTGTGTGAGTGTGTACACACGTGTGTGTGTGTACACACGTGTGAGTGTGTGTACACACGTGTGTGAGTGTGTACACACGTGTGTGTGTGTGTACACACGTGTGTGTGTGTGTGTACACACGTGTGTGTGTGTGTGTGTACACACGTGTGTGTGTGTACACACGTGTGTGTGAGTGTGTGTATGTGTGTACACACGTGTGTGTATGTGTGTGTACACACGTGTGTGTGTGTACACACGTGTGTGTGTGTGTACACACGTGTGTGTATGTGTGTGTGTACACACGTGTGTGTGTGAGTGTGTACACACGTGTGTGTATGTGTGTGTACACACGTGTGTGAGTGTGTACACACGTGTGTGTATGTGTGTGTGTGTGTACACACGTGTGTGTATGTGTGTATGTGTGTGTGTACACACGTGTGTGTATGTGTGTACACACGTGTGTGTATGTGTGTATGTGTGTGTGTGTACACACGTGTGTGTATGTGTGTACACACGTGTGTGTATGTGTGTATGTGTGTGTGTGTACACACGTGTGTGTGTGTGTGTGTACACACGTGTGTGTATGTGTGTATGTGTGTGTGTGTACACACGTGTGTGTATGTGTGTACACACGTGTGTGTATGTGTGTATGTGTGTGTGTGTACACACGTGTGTGTGTGTGTGTGTGTTTGCCAGCATGACCACGACATCTCGGCGTACACGTACGAGAAGACGCTCGTGATGGAGCAGAGGTCGCAGATGCTGCGTCAGATGCAGCTCTCCAAGTACGAGCGCGAGATGGAGGTGGGTGGCTGGGTGGGTGGGTGGGCGAGGTGGGTGGGTGGGTGGGTGGGCGAGGTGGGTGGGTGGGTCGGTGGGTGGGTGGGCGAGGTGGGTGGGTGGCTGGGTGGGTGGCTGGGTGGGTGGGTGGGTGGGCGAGGTGGCTGGGTGAGTGGGCGAGGTGGGCGAGGTGGGTGGCTGGGTGGGTGGCTGTGTGAGTGGGCGAGGTGGGTGGCTGGGTGGGTGGGTGGCTGGGTGGGTGGCTGGGTGGGTGGCTGGGTGGGTGGCTGTGTGAGTGGGCAAGGTGGGTGGGTGGCTGGGTGGGTGGCTGGGTGGGTGGGTGGCTGGGTCGGTGGCTGGGTGGGTGGCTGGGTGGGTGGCTGGGTGGGTGGCTGTGTGAGTGGGCGAGGTGGGTGGCTGGGTGGGTGGCTGGGTGGGTGGCTGGGTGGGTGGCTGTGTGAGTGGGCGAGGTGGGTGGCTGGGTGGGTGGCTGGGTGAGTGGCTGGGTGGGTGGCTGGGTGGGTGGCTGGGTGGGTGGCTGGGTGGGTGGCTGGGTGGGTGGCTGGGTGGATGGGTGGGTGAGGGGTGGTTGTGCGGGCGAGGTGTACAGAACGTGGTGTGTGTGCGACCCACCCCCCGCCACACACAGATCCAGAGCATCACGGACGTCTCCCGTGGCTCCATCAAGCGCAAGGCCACCACCACCACCACCACCACCACCGCCACCACCGCCACCACCGCCACCACCACCGCGACCGCCGCCACCGCCGCCACCGCCAGCGCCTCCCCGCTTGCGGTGGCGTCCGACCCGGCCGGCAGCTCCGCCGGGGCCTCCGACGATCGCCAACAGCGGCAGCAGCAGCGGGAGGAGGAGGTGGAGGAGGAGGAGGAGGAGGAGGAAGGGAACCGCACGCCGGACCACGTGTGCACCGATGAGGTGACAGCGGTGGTGGCGGTGATGGCGGTGGTGGCAGTGGCGGTGATGTTGTTGATGGTGTTGGTGATGATGGCCAAATATAATCACCTTGAACCTTCAACCCCGGCACACGCATTGGATGGATGCGGACCGCGATGGAAACATCATTCAGCCGCCACACTCCAACACTCACCCACTCCAACACTCACTCACCCACTCACCCATTCACTCACTCACCCACTCACCCACCCACTCACCCACTCACCCGCTCACCCACCCACCCACTCACCCACCCACCCACTCACCCACCCACACACTCACCCACTCGCTCACCCATTCACTCACTCACCCACTCACTCACCCACCCACTCACAAACCCACTCTATCACTCAGCCACCCACTCACCCACCTATCCCCCCACCCACACACCCACTCACACACCCACCCACCCACTCACCCACCCACCCACTCACTCACCCACCCACCCACCCACCCACTCACAAACTCACTCTATCACTCACCCACTCGCTCACCCATTCACTCACCCACCCACTCACTCACTCACCCACCCACCCACTCACTCACCCACTCGCTCACCCATTCACTCACTCACCCACTCACTCACCCACCCACCCACTCACAAACTCACTCTATCACTCACACACCCACTCACCCACTCACTCACCCACTCGCTCACCTATTCACTCACTCACCCACCCACCCACTCACAAACCCACTCTATCACTCAGCCACCCACTCACCCACCTATCCCCCCATTCACACACCAACTCACACACCCACCCACTCACCCACCCACTCAACCACCCACTAACACCACCCACCCACTAACACCACCCACCCGCCCGCGCCCACCTCGTCCTCCCAGGTGCAGCTCGTGCCGCCGGCTACTCCCGGCGCCGCGGGCCTTGAGGCTCAGGGCGCCGACGGGCCGGCCGCTCAGCTGAGCCCTGGCGAGGGCAGTGAGCGGCAGCGCACGTGGACACACGAGCGGGGCCGTGACGGGGACACCACGCCGGGCGATGCCTGCACTCCACAGGGCCTCAAGGATTTGTTCAACCTCAAACCGTGAGCGGCAGAGGCCACAGGGCGAACACGCGGAACACGCAGGGACAGCCCCACTCAGCACCAGGGACAGCTCCACTCAGCACCAGGGACAGCTCCACTCAGCACCAGGGACAGCTCCACTCAGCACCAGGGACAGCTCCACTCAGACTCAGCACCAGGGACAGCTCCACTCAGCACCAGGGACAGCTCCACTCAGACTCAGCACCAGGGACAGCTCCACTCAGCACCAGGGACAGCTCCACTCAGACTCAGCACCAGGGACAGCTCCACTCAGCACCAGGGACAGCTCCACGCAGATTCAGCACCAGGGACAGCTCCACTCAGATTCAGCACCAGGGACAGCTCCACTCAGCACCAGGGACAGCTCCACTCAGCACCAGGGACAGCTCCACACAGACTCAGCACCAGGGACAGCTCCACTCAGCACCAGGGACAGCTCCACTCAGACTCAGCACCAGGGACAGCTCCACTCAGCACCAGGGACAGCTCCACTCAGACTCAGGGACAGCTCCACTCAGACTCAGGGACAGCTCCACACAGCACCAGGGACAGCTCCACTCAGCACCAGGGACAGCTCCACTTAGACTCAGGGACAGCTCCACTCAGCACTAGGGACAGCTCCACGCAGACTCAGGGACAGCTCCACGCAGATTCAGCACCAGGGACAGCTCCACGCAGACTCAGGGACAGCTCCACTCAGCACCAGGGACAGCTCCACTCAGCACCAGGGACAGCTCCACGCAGACTCAGGGACAGCTCCACGCAGATTCAGCACCAGGGACAGCTCCACGCAGACTCAGGGACAGCTCCACTCAGCACCAGGGACAGCTCCACTCAGCACCAGGGACAGCTCCACTCAGCACCAGGGACAGCTCCACTCAGACTCAGCACCAGGGACAGCTCCACTCAGCACCAGGGACAGCTCCACGCAGATTCAGCACCAGGGACAGCTCCACGCAGATTCAGCACCAGGGACAGCTCCACTCAGCACCAGGGACAGCTCCACTCAGCACCAGGGACAGCTCCACACAGACTCAGCACCAGGGACAGCTCCACTCAGCACCAGGGACAGCTCCACTCAGACTCAGCACCAGGGACAGCCCCACTCAGCACCAGGGACAGCTCCACTCAGACTCAGGGACAGCTCCACTCAGACTCAGGGACAGCTCCACACAGCACCAGGGACAGCTCCACTCAGCACCAGGGACAGCTCCACTTAGACTCAGGGACAGCTCCACTCAGCACTAGGGACAGCTCCACGCAGACTCAGGGACAGCTCCACGCAGATTCAGCACCAGGGACAGCTCCACGCAGACTCAGGGACAGCTCCACTCAGCACCAGGGACAGCTCCACTCAGCACCAGGGACAGCTCCACGCAGACTCAGGGACAGCTCCACGCAGATTCAGCACCAGGGACAGCTCCACGCAGACTCAGGGACAGCTCCACTCAGCACCAGGGACAGCTCCACTCAGCACCAGGGACAGCTCCACTCAGCACCAGGGACAGCTCCACTCAGCACCAGGGACAGCTCCACTCAGCACCAGGGACAGCTCCACTCAGCACCAGGGACAGCTCCACACAGACTCAGCACCAGGGACAGCTCCACGCAGACTCAGCACCAGGGACAGCTCCACTCAGACTCAGGGACAGCTCCACTCAGCACCAGGGACAGCTCCACTCAGACTCAGGGACAGCTCCACTCAGCACCAGGGACAGCTCCACTCAGACTCAGCACCAGGGACAGCTCCACGCAGACTCAGGGACAGCTCCACTCAGCACCAGGGACAGCTCCACTCAGACTCAGGGACAGCTCCACTCAGACTCAGGGACAGCTCCACTCAGCACCAGGGACAGCTCCACTCAGACTCAGGGACAGCTCCACTCAGACTCAGCACCAGGGGACAGCTCCACTCAGCACCAGGGACAGCTCCACATCAGACTCAGGGACAGCTTCCACTCAGACTCAGAACTCAGGGACAGCTCCACTCAGCACCAGGGACAGCTCCACTCAGCATCAGGGACAGCTCCACTCAGACTCAGACTCAGGGACAGCTCCACTCAGCACTCAGGGACAGCTCCCAGACTCAGCACCAGGGACAGCTCCACTCAGCACCAGGGACAGCTCCACTCAGACTCAGCACCAGGGACAGCTCCACTCAGACTCAGGGACAGTTCCACTCAGACTCAGACTCAGGGACAGCTCCACTCAGCACCAGGGACAGCTCCACTCAGACTCAGCACCAGGGACAGCTCCACTCAGACTCAGGGACAGCTCCACTCAGACTCAGCACCAGGGACAGCTCCACTCAGCACCAGGGACAGCTCCACTCAGCACCAGGGACAGCTCCACTCAGCACCAGGGACAGCTCCACTCAGCACCAGGGACAGCTCCACTCAGACTCAGGGACAGCTCCACTCAGACTCAGGGACAGCTCCACTCAGACTCAGGGACAGTTCCACTCAGACTCAGGGACAGCTCCACTCAGACTCAGGGACAGCTCCACTCAGACTCAGCACCAGGGACAGCTCCACTCAGACTCAGGGACAGCTCCACTCAGCACCAGGGACAGCTCCACTCAGCAGCAGGGACAGCTCCACTCAGACTCAGGGACAGCTCCACTCAGCACCAGGGACAGCTCCACTCAGCACCAGGGACAGCTCCACGCAGACTCAGCACCAGGGACAGCTCCACTCAGACTCAGGGACAGCTCCACTCAGCACCAGGGACAGCTCCACTCAGCACCAGGGACAGCTCCACGCAGACTCAGACTCAGGGACAGCTCCACTCAGACTCAGGGACAGCTCCACTCAGACTCAGCACCAGGGACAGCTCCACTCAGCACCAGGGACAGCTCCACTCAGCACCAGGGACAGCTCCACTCAGCACCAGGGACAGCTCCACTCAGCACCAGGGACAGCTCCACTCAGCACCAGGGACAGCTCCACTCCAGCACCAGGACAGCTCCACTCAGACTCAGGGACAGCTCCACTCAGACTCAGGGACAGCTCCACTCAGCACCAGGGACAGCTCCACGCAGACTCAGGGACAGCTCCACTCAGACTCAGGGACAGCTCCACTCAGCACCAGGGACAGCTCCACTCAGACTCAGGGACAGCTCCACACAGACTGAGCACCAGGGACAGCTCCATTCAGACTCAGCACCAGGGACAGCTCCACTCAGCACCAGGGACAGCTCCACACAGACTCAGCACCAGGGACAGCTCCACTCAGACTCAGCACCAGGGACAGCTCCACTCAGCACCAGGGACAGCTCCACGCAGACTCAGACTCAGGGACAGCTCCACTCAGACTCAGCACCAGGGACAGCTCCACTCAGACTCAGGGACAGCTCCACACAGACTCAGCACCAGGGACAGCTCCACTCAGCACCAGGGACAGCTCCACTCAGACTCAGCACCAGGGACAGCTCCACTCAGCACCAGGGACAGCTCCACTCAGACTCAGCACCAGGGACAGTTCCACTCAGACTCAGGGACAGCTCCACTCAGCACCAGGGACAGCTCCACGCAGACTCAGGGACAGCTCCACTCAGCACCAGGGACAGCTCCACTCAGCACCAGGGACAGCTCCACTCAGCACCAGGGACAGCTCCACTCAGCACCAGGGACAGCTCCACTCAGCACCAGGGACAGCTCCACTCAGACTCAGCACCAGGGACAGCTCCACTCAGACTCAGGGACAGCTCCACGCAGACTCATGGCGTGACACACGGAGTGACACACGGAGTGACACACGGAGTGACACATGGAGTGACACAGTGACACACGGAGTGACACACGGAGTGACACAGTGACACACGGAGTGACACACGGAGTGACACACGGAGTGACACAGTGACACACGGAGTGACACACGGAGTGACACACGGAGTGACACACGGAGTGGCACACGGAGTGACACACAGAGTGACACACGGAGTGACACACGGAGTGACCCAGTGACACACGGAGTGACACACGGAGTGACACAGTGAAACACGGAGTGACACACGGAGTGGCACACGGAGTGACACACGGAGTCAAACACGGAGTGACACACGGAGTGACACACGGAGTCACACACGGAGTGACACAGTGACACACGGAGTGACCCACGGAGTGACACACGGAGTGACACACGGAGTGACACACGGAGTGACCCACGGAGTGACACACGGAGTGACACACGGAGTGACCCACGGAGTGACACACGGATTGACACACGGAGTGACACACCCAGTGACCCACGGAGTGACACACGGAGTGACACACGGAGTGACACACAGCAGGCGCGACGTGGTGCGGCTGATTGTTGCTCTCTGTCCCGCACTGCCGTCCGCACTGCAGGGAGTGGGAGAACCTGTGAGTAGTGCACCCGCTTACTCACCACTCACTCACCACTCACTCACCACTCACTCACCACTCACTCACCACTCACCCACTTGTTCACTCACTCACCACTCACTCACCCACTTGTTCACTCACTCACCACTCACTCACCACTCACTCACCCACTTGTTCACTCACTCACCACTCACTCACCACACACTCACTCACCACTCACTCACTCACCACTCACTCACCACTCACTCACCACTCACTCACCACTCACTCACTCACCACTCACCACTCACTCACCACTCACTCACTACACACTCACCACTCACTCACCACTCACTCACTCACCACTCACCACTCACTCACCACTCACTCACCACTCACTCACCCACTTGTTCACTCACTCACCACTCACTCACCACACACTCACTCACCACTCACTCACTCACCACTCACTCACCACTCACTCACCACTCACTCACTCACCACTCACCACTCACTCACCACTCACTCACCACACACTCACCACTCACTCACCACTCACTCACCACTCACTCATCACTCACTCACCACTCACTCACCACTCACTCACCCACTTGTTCACTCACTCACCACTCACTCACCACTCACTCACCACTCACTCACCACTCACTCACTCATCACCCGCTCACTCACCACTCACTCACCCACTTGTTCACTCACTCACCACTCACTTACCACTCACTCACCCACTTGTTCACTCACCACTCACTCACCCACTTGTTCACTCACTCACCACTCACTCACCACTCACTCACCACTCACTCACCACTCACTCACCCACTTGTTCACTCACTCACCACTCACTCACCCACTCACTCACCACTCACTCACCACTCACTCACCACTCACTCACCCACTTGTTCACTCACTCACCACTCACTCACCCACTCACTCACCACTCACTCACCACTCACTCACCACTCACTCACCCACTCACTCACCACTCACTCACCACTCACTCACCACTCACTCACCCACTTGTTCACTCACTCACCACTCACTTACCACTCACTCACCCACTTGTTCACTCACCACTCACTCACCCACTTGTTCACTCACTCACCACTCACTCACCACTCACTCACCACTCACTCACCACTCACTCACCCACTTGTTCACTCACTCACCCACTCACTCACCACTCACTCACCACTCACTCACCACTCGCTCACCGCTCACTTACCACTCACCCACTTGTTCACTCACTCACCACTCACTCACCACTCACTCACCACTCACTCACCACTCACTCACCACTCACTCACCCACTTGTTCACTCACTCACCACTCACCCACTTGTTCACTCACTCACCACTCACTTACTCACCACTCACTCACCACTCACTCACCACTCACCCACTTGTTCACTCACTCACCACTCACTCACCCACTTGTTCACGCACTCACCACTCACTTACTCACCACTCACTCACCACCCACTCACTCACCACTCGCTCACTCACCACCCACCCATTCACTCACCACTCACTCACTCACCACCCACCCACTCACTCACCGCTCACTCACCACTCACTCACCACTCACTCACCACCCACTCACTCACCACTCGCTCACTCACCACCCACCCATTCACTCACCACTCACTCACCACCCACTCACTCACCACTCACTCACCACTCACTCACCACTCACTCACTCACTCACCACTCACTCACCCACTTGTTCACTCACTCACCACTCACTCACCCACTTGTTCACTCACTCACCACTCACTCACCACTCACTCACTCACTCACCACCCACCCATTCACTCACCACTCACTCACCACTCACCCACTTGTTCACTCACTCACCACTCACTCACCCACTTGTTCACTCACTCACCACTCACTCACCACTCACTCACCACTCACTCACCACTCACCCACTTGTTCACTCACTCACCACTCACTCACCCACTTGTTCACTCACTCACCACTCACTCACCACTCACTCACTCATCACCCGCTCACTCACCACTCACTCACCACTCACTCACCACTCACTCACCCACTTGTTCACTCACTCACCACTCACTCACCACTCACTCACCACCCACTCACTCACCACTCACTTACTCACCACTCACTCACCACCCATTCACTCACCACTCACTTACTCACCACTCACTCACCACCCACTCACTCACCACTCGCTCACTTACTCACCCACTTGTTCACTCACCACTCACTCACCACTCACTCACTCACCACCCACCCATTCACTCACCACTCACTCACCACTCACTCACCACTCACTCACCACTACACTCACCACTCACTCACCACTCACTCACCCACTTGTTCACTCACTCACCACTCACTCACTCACCACTCACTCACCACTCACTCACCACTCACTCACCACTCACTCACTCACCACCCACTCACTCACTCACCACCCACCCATTCACTCACCACTCACTCACTCACCACTACACTCACCACTCACTCACTCACCACTCACTCACCACTCACTCACCACTCACTCACCACTCACTCACTCACCACCCACTCACTCACTCACCACCCACCCATTCACTCACCACTCACTCACTCACCACTACACTCACCACTCACCACTCACTCACCACTCACTCACCACTCACTCACCACTACACTCACCACTACACTCACCACTCGCTCACTTCCCCATCTCTCTCGGGATCGGATCCCTCGCTCCCTCGTACACACGAAGTCGGTACAACACCGGAGAGAGGGGGGGGGGGGAGGGGGGGAGAGGAGGGAGGGGGAGAGGGAGGGGGGAGAGAGGGAGGGGGAGAGAGGGAGGGGGGAGAGAAGGAGGGGGG